TGTCTGAGCGACATCTCGGGTCTCGTGAGAGTTTGTAAATAACACTAACGATTATCAACATGGGGGTCGTTAGCTCGTTTATCGTTTCTGCAGCGTTTTAGATATAATACTTGCAATTTTATTTATTTATTTACACGTCATGCTCACTAGGTGCATTGGCGAACTTAATGCCTAAGGCATTCTCTACTAGCCAACCATTGGGTGATGCAGAGAAAACAGGAAGTAGGTGCATTTTGGTTACAGTTAGCAATTTAAACTGAATACATAATCACATATTTACACACATACAAACATATCATATACTACACTAATACATATTATACATGGGTAAATACATTACAATACATAAATAAAGTACCAAAGTATATAAATACTTTTGTACATACATATGCATATAGATACTAATAACAATTCGATTTAAAAAAATCAGGAGCATATTGATTCTGCCAGTTGTTTGACCAGATACTGCTTTACTTTTACTTTAAAGGAAAGAAATTTGGTTGTCATCCTGATTTCGAGTTTTAGTACAGCTTCTAATTCAGCGAACGATTCACGTAAGTAACTGAATGGAAAGTATAATAATGTAAGCATAAAAAGCCTAATAAATACGGTCGAAGGACTTCCTCTAAATAACAGGAAATTATTCGGGAGGGCATTCTGCCAATCGTGTAACCAGATCATTCACGGATGGGACTACAATTTGTATATATGTCGACACAGAAGAGGGGTCTGTAGTGCAGTGGTGAGCACACAAATCGGTAACCTTTAGTAAAAGTAGGGCAATGATATGATCAAAATATTTATACCAGAACACTGGCGAACTTTTAAATAGTTCAGTGTCAATGTTCAGTGATTTGTTATGTTTAAGTTAAGCGATGGAACACATTGTAACGACTTTATCTTCGGCTTTTTAACCATCTTCTACTATTAAAAGCCTGAACGATTTTTGGCCATTTTTAAATTATGGTAGAAGCAGATTGAATCTAATTGCTTTGTTTTATGGTATTGGGGACGAATGAACAGACAAGTCACCTGATGATAAGAGACTAATTTGAATGCCCCACACAGTTACGGATGGGGGGAAGGACCCAGGTTTTATTTCGAAAGAAAGAAAACAAATACATTTATTTCGGTCGTGTATTGTAAACTACACCATTGAACCACTCCACTGGGGTGTCGTTTAAAATTTTTTTTACTAGTGATGTGTAACGTGAAATAAAACGATTCGTTGTGTGTTCATTTTAATGAAATTGTTTAAAATTGCTCGAGTTAACAAGGGATTCGTAAAACAATACTTGTATTTATTTCAACAACAACTAAATCCTTACATAGTATGAAATAGAGTCGCTTTTTCGTGTTGTACGCTTAGATCTTTTAAATTAAGCAACGGATTTTAATGCGGTTTTTACCGATACAGAGTGATTCAAGAGGAAGGTTTATACATATATGTATAATACATGCATATTTTAGTAGAGAAAATAGGACTTTTTTGTAAAAAAAACATGTTTTTATGTGCTTAAATTGCAAACACTGGTTATAAACCTTACGAGATAGACCAAAATAAGGTACTACGGAATTGTATATCTTAAAAAGATCTACAAAAACGGTTCTGAGCGTGAATAAAACGATAGTAAAGGATCGAAAATAATGAAAAAACCTCAACTAGGAAGTGTCGCGTACTGCACGTCGCTCACATCCAACAGGTAACTGCTCTAATTGGTATACAAATTGTACATTTTGTAAGACGGCCAATAATTATATTTGAATCTATAATTATGAACTATCACGCGATTGATTCAAATAAACGTAGTTTATCGTACTTTTAATTTTATTGCAATTGAAACAATACAAACATCAGCAAACATAAATTGCTATAAGGAATACACTTTTGTTTTTACACCTGTGACATTTGTTTAAACGCGAGAAGGAACGCGAGAAATGCTTTTATTAAGGCATCCGGTCCCCTTTTAGTGCCTGACCGCAAAAGCGCGGTACCATCTTCAGGTAACGCTGACATTAAAGCGTGATCCAGGCACCCGCAGACATTGCCTCCTCGCGGCAGACCCCCGTCCCGTCCCCATCACTTGCGGCTAGACTCAAGGTGGCATGAGGCGCTGGAAGGCACGCCTGGCGGTGAATTATGTCTGAGTGGTAACTTCCTCCCAGAAATTTATGGCCATTTTACCGCGGTCGCAAGCTAACGTAACCTAGTATTGTATTCAATCACTTAATAGGCTTAAATGGAGATGTTATGAAGTTGCTTGCTAGTAGATGGTCTATTGTCGTAATAAAAATAAGTTCAAAATTCAGTTCCGATCTACTCTTGATCTCCCAAAGGTCATAAAAGGTATTCTCGTAGTAAAGTATTAAACATTAAGCGTTGACTGTTATGAGATCATATACTCGTAGTATTGTGACCGAAAGTTGAATCGGTATTCTGTTGGTCTTAGTATTACTTTACTACAAGAATACCTTTCATGACATGTGTGAGATCGGAAGATCTACACTCTTGGAACTGAATTGGTAACGATTTTTTATTACATCAATTATTGACCTTCAGATTGCTTGAGTTGAAAACGTCTTAATTTTTTAGAAATATTCAGTAATCAACCCGAATACAGTTTGTAATTCTCTTGGAAAATTTGTCACCAGAATTTAATTTATAATCACATCAACAGCTTAATAGTCCACTGCTGGACATAGGTTTCTCCTTGGAAAGGAGGTTTTGGTCTACTCTACCTCGCTGGCCAGACGGGTCAGACGGGCCAGACGGGCCAGTACAGGATTTGTATCAAGTTTTCATTCTCTCTGCAGTGTTGTTGTCCTTCGTAGTTTATAGGATCTACCAGGTAAACCTATTGTGTTACGATAAAATTTTCAGTGTTTGAAGCAAATTAGAAAGATTAAATGTCAACTATCGGACAATTCATAATACTTTCTATTTTGGTGATTTATAAAAATTGATGTCATATTAAAAATCAGCGTGAACAGATAAAACGAGAGCAATATGTTACATAATAGTTCATGAATATTGTATTTTTAGCTGCTGCAAAACGTGTGCATGCAGACGATATTTAATTGGAAAACAAAATTAAGAGCTTCCTGTTTGCAAACTATGAGTTAATATTCATAAAAGAATCCAATATCTTAAAAAGTCCGTGTGGTGACGGATTAAGAGTACGGAATGTCACTACTCCTATTCATCCCGTGGGTGTCGTAAGAGTCGACTAAGGGAACAAACTACGCTGAGATACAGCACTGCAAAGAGAAGGAAAACTTGAAGCAAACCCTATACTACTACTATATAATTATAATCGTAATCGTAATGTCATAATAACATCGTTTCCATTAATTTTTAATTTTAATGTTTACAAGCTACTTGCACGCCGCTCACTACCACGCTGAGTGTTGTGGGTCTGATCCCCACATGGGACGACACTTTGTGTGACCCACAAAATTGTTATTCTGAGTCTGGGTGTTATTTGTGTCACTCGCAATGTATGTTTGTAAAGTCCCCCGCAACACAGGATATATTCCTAATGCGGGAGTTGTCTTTTTAAAAAGAAGAAAGACAGAAGAAGAAAAGAAAATGTTTGTATATCCCCTCTTTGTTCTCCAAAACGGGTGGACCGATTTAGCCTGGACGTTCACTGGCAGATATACAGCTTACGGCATCAGAAGTAACTTGGATCACTTTTATTTTAGAAAGATTTTGAGTTCAGCGCATAAAAAGAAATGAAATGAACATATACACACACTGAAAGTTGCGGCCGACGCAGCTAGATTTTACTCAGGGGGGTAGTAAATAACAACGTAAGACTTTACCTTAATCTGTCAATATTATTCATCAGAAGAAACACAAACACTATACAAATAATACAAATAAATTGACTGCACGGATGGCGTAGTGGTTTAAGCGGTCGCCACGCCGCTTACTACTACGCTGAGTGTTGTGGGTCCGATCCCCACATGGGACGACACTTTGGGTGATCCCCAAATTGTTGTTCTGAGTCTGGGTGTTCTTTGTGTCCGTTTCATAAATGTTTGACACGCGAAACAGGATTTATTTTTAGTGCGGGAGTTGTCTTAAAAAAAAAAAGAAGATAATGATAATATAGCATATAAAAATAGCTCGATACTGGCAGGTAGACATAAATAAGGTAATTCTCGGTCGGTCTTCTGTATGGTACAATTAGCTGTATGTACGAGTATACCTTCGTAACAAATACCTTTAACGTGCATTCTCTCAGAAATACCAAATTCATATTCAAAGGAATAAAAACAGCAAAGTTTATAAGGCTTTATAAGCTTAATTATTTTAATTACCTGTATCTTGATTTTAATCATACCTAAATGAAATAGGACCTCACATTCGGTGAATTTGTAAGTGGATAGCAGCTGCTAAGTATTTAATTAGCTCCTTTATTAAAATTGCTCAATTTTAAAGAAAGGCAAGCGCTAAAATAAGGGCTGTCAAGTTAAATGAGATTTTAATCATAAGTTTGTTTTTGATATATTCGAAATCGCTCATCAGATTTTCAACCAGTCTGTACTATACAATGGTTATACAGGACGTTTATAGGCTATATACTAAATAATCTACAAATTTAAGCTACGCTCTACAATATGACCTATAGCCTAAAAATGTTATTGCTTCGGCTGTGAAGTAATTGATTTATACTTATATGTATAAAATCACCAATTATCTTCAAATAATTGCCACCAATATTAACAGATGACGTAGATAAATAATTAAATATACTTAAACAAAAATTTACATACATTCCTTAATCTTTTTTATTAAAAAAAATATTCTGAAAAAAGGCCTCCTCTATTTACCTCTTACACACAACTTTAGGCTAGAAGCTACCACCAGTCTTCACCCCTACAAGCTACATTGAAGAGGGGGTGAGATGTCCAACGGCTATAATAGTGCGTGCGACACAACGCCTCTTACATTTTGTTGTTAACGCGAGACACCAAGTGAGAGCCGTACCAATATGGATTACAGACTTGTGAGTAACATTACAATAAGTGGTGGCGGTATTATGTTTGAAGTGAATTTAGAACTTTGTGTGGTGCTATACTTTAAAAGTTACGTATTATATCAAAGTAGAATTCTGGGCAAAGTAGAAAAGGTTCTAGATCGCTTTAAATTTTTGTCATGTTAATTAAGCCTTGGTCAAATTTAATATGTTATAATTTTATCCTTATATTCGAGAAAGTAAAGTCAAAATAACTGTCTTCTAATGCGTATCACTATTATGTACCATGAAACTCCTAAACTGATCGTAATAAAATTGATAAAAGAAGGAGTTTGGAACATAAACAAAGACGGGTACTAAAATATTAAAAAAAGAAAATTTAATAATAGCAGATTAAATTCCATTACACGGTATTTGAGAAACGATGCTGACAGTGGCGCGATATCTAAATTCATAATGATGAATTAAAATCCAAATTTTTATTCGATTTAATCATTTTCACTATTAACTTTAAATTTTACATCAACCATTATTTAATTTCTTATTTATAGTTACGCGAAATACTGAAAATTATTAAGATTATTAATATTTCACTAAAACTATAGTAACCTAATTAATGTGCAAGTACGCAGAATTTCTCTATGACATTTAAACATAAAAGTATAAAGTTCACATTATCTAAGTCAAATGGTATTTAATAATCATATAATATACAGCCAAAATTCATAACACATAATAAATTCTTTATTAATAAAGATATACGGTCTTTTAAAGAAAATAAAAAACTTTTCTGTATAAATCTAAATATCTATATGAAATTGCATCATCTATCAAAGCATTTTACATAAGATCTCAGATTAAATTTATTAATAGAAAAAAAACGTTATCTGTTTTTTAAAATGCCAATCTTAAGTAATCAATAATCATGTGTCATGTTCTTAGATCAATTATACCATTAATCCTATGTATGATATTAAATAAAATAATTAACACAATTAATAGTACTTGGCTATGTCCAGCAGTGGACGATTATAGGCAGTTGATGTGTGATGATGTGATGTGAATAGTGCTTGTTAATATATTACAATATTTTATGTTTTTAATTATGTAACTGCTTAAATGTTAATTAATACGCGTCTATGGTCGAGTCCAGTCGAGACTTAAAACTTATAAAATATGGATTAGAAATTTTAAGAATACTTTGTCACTTCCAGGAAGAATTGTCATTTCTGACTTTGACATATGTGTGCAATGACATCATATAAACTTTGTCAGAAAATCTTGGGGTTTTTTGCCGGATAATACAGTCAGCAATGGAAATTGCAGAGATTGTCTAAAAATGCCAACAAAAAAGTAATAAATTGGTACCTCTGGTGCCTATATCGCAAACTTTGTTTTTCGTTAGTTCTATAGAATACAAGCTTTAATGATAACAATTCATTTATTCATTTAAAAGTCAAATCCCGCATTAGGAATGTATCCTTACAAACATACATGAAACGGACACAAAGAACACCCAGACTCAGAACAGCAATTTGTGGATCACACAAAGTTTCGTCCCATGTGGGGATCGAACCCACAACACTCAGTGTAGTAGGAAGCGGCATGGCGACGGCTTAAACCACTACGCCATCCATGCAATATTTATTATTATTAAATGTTTAAATCTACTGAGATCGATTGAGACCAAGAAGGATGTTGAATGTTTTATGCGAATAGAAAACACAAATACATGAGTTACCATTAATTACTATTACGCCAGCCGATAACATCAATACGCGGCGCTCTTCATATCCACAGTTCCGTCATATTAACATAACGCGCCAGTGCCCGTTCGCGCATTCCATACTGTAATTTTAACTTAATAAGCGGCTTTCGATTTTTATCTTCCTAGAAATCTCTCCAAAAAACAAGCTCTATTAAAAATGTATGTAGAGTGTTACAGAAAGGAGTGTTTAAAGTTTTTGGACGCGTAATAGACCCCGTAGGTGAACATTTATATTTGATAAGGTGTTTGCAATTATAGGAATCATAGGAATTAACAGCCTTCAACAGTCCACTGTTGGACATAGGCCTCTCCTTAGAAAGAAGGTTTTGGTCTACTAAACATGCTAGCCGGACGGGTTTGTATCTATAGGGTATGTGTCAAGATTTACTTCTCTTTGCGGTGCTGTTTGCTCCCATAGTCGGCAACACCCACGGGATCAATAGGGGTGGTGACACTGTATTTTTAATCCGTCACCACAAGGGTATATGATACGGATACGCATTATAGGAATTTAAATCTTATTTTGACAGTGATAGATTCATAATTGCCCTGCCAAATTTCAATTTTTTATTTGAAATCTACCAATGTGTATCGTTGCTAAGAGTTGTTTCTTTTTTGGCAGTCTGCCTGACGTAAATCCTCCATGATAATATAATTATTTTGAGACGAAACAAAGAAAGAAATTACTTCGGGATAAGGAAAACAATTAGGTAGAAAGAGACTTTCAGCTTCACTTGGCCTAGGGCCAAGGGAAGTCTTGAGTGGGGAAACGGAACTGAGACTGCGTCTGATACAGAGTACCTCGAAGATGCTGAAGTCGCGTAACTGTGGAATGCACTAGAACAGGGTCATCAATTCAGCCTTTTGTCAGTTACTTTTCCAGATTGAACTCAAAAATAATTGGACCTAATTTTTTAAAGAGTGATTCCAAGGAATATCATACGAACTCGATTTTTTCGAAAAAGTTTCCATAAAAAATGACCATGATAAAAATTGATCATGTAATTTTTAGAGCTGTACAACTACGCGGAACAGCATTTTCCTGCATTTGCTAACTCAACTGTTTTTTGTTGGCAAAACAATCCTGATACATGATCAAACTTGGTATAGATACCTACTGTATTCATGTTTTTGTGGGGATTTCACGGCGTCTTAGGGAAGTATGTTATTTAATGATATAACAAGAAACAAAACAACTTGCCAAAATTTGTTATTTTTGTTAAAGCATTTAAAATAATATAAACTACGACTGACTAAGTAATATTTTTTTTAATTGGTAGATATTATTTTAGAGAAAATAAGTTTTTATTAGTTATTTAAGCATTAAGTCATTTAGGCCCACGTTTTGCACACATAATAGATTAGATATTTAACAGCAATGCTCCTCTGTTCCGTTGCATGTTATGAAGATTAAGTTTTGCACGCAACTGTGGGGTTACGCGGCTTGGATTCGATTCCCGGGTCGAAGAAATTGTTAACGTAAATTGAAATCGACGATATACAGGCTTACATAGTTTTTCTACAACATAATTTCTTGTTTATGAAAGTCCTAACAAAATAAAACGAACTATAATAATAACGGATTACACGGTAGGATTTTAACCTACTTAGGTCAAAATCCTTTATGCAAATCCTATTAAGAATAATAAATTTCATATGAAAGCCTTTTTACTGAATATTCTCGTTTGTATTATCTTCTGTGTAATATATAATTTTTAACCGACTTCAAAAAAAGGAGGAGGTTCTCAATTCGACTGTATTTTTTTTTTTTTTTTTTTGTATATTTGTTACGCGATTACTCCGGCAATTATAAACCGATTTGAATAATTCTTTCTTTATTTGGTAGGTCATACGTCAGAGGTGGTCCCATTGTCACCAGGTCAGGATCTGATGATGGGATCCTGGGGAAATCGAGGGAAACCCTCAAATTTTGTATGTAGGCATATACACTGTTTATCAGAAATTATCTTAATCTATGTAGATTTTTGCATCTAATGGTCACCATCTGATGTTGCTGAGCTGATGATGAAGCTGATGATGAAGCTGATGATGAATGAAAAAAAAAAAAAAAAAAAAAAAAAAAAAATTAATAAGGACTCCGATCCTATGTGATATTCAGGGTCTGATGATGGAGACGGTAAATAGCCATGGGAACTCTGTAATAAAATAAAGCAATTCCGCCGTGTTTGTGCTCATTTGATTCGTCTCGACTAGGAGCTTCATGCTAGTCGATTTTTAACCAACATCAAAAAAGGAGGGTTTTTGATTCGACAGTATGTTTTCTTTTTAACCGACTTCCAAACCACAAAAGAGGAGGTTCTCAATTCGTCTGTATTTTTTTTTTTTATGTATGTTTGTTACGCGATTTCTTCGTCAATTGTGGACCGATTTTCAAAATTCTTTTTGTAATCGAAAGGGTATGCTCCCGAATTGGTCCCATTACCACCAATTCAGGATCTGATAATGGGATCCTAGAGAAATCGAGTGGAACCCTCACAATTATTGGGAATTTGACAGCCCGGACAACGTGTTTTAGCTACGAGTATTTCTTTAGCCAAACAAACCATGGCAACTGTCAGAGACTGCGCGATGTGATGCGCAGAGAACTTGCAGTATTTATGTCACCACAGTAATTTTCGTTGTATTAAGAAGAAAAGGTTGAAATTTTGTATTCTATCTTGTTAAAATAATTCGGATAGACGTTTAGTTGCTATGGATGGCATCGCATTTCGTTTGTAAGTAATTTTATACTTAATTTATTAAAATAGTTCTAAAAAAAACTCTTAAATTTTGGGTGGGTCAACTAGGTTAATTTCTAACATACTAGTATTAACCCTTCTAGTTGGAACTCCTTCTATAAAATATTGAGTATATTTGTTGAGTAGTCTCACTAAAGCTTCCCTATCTTCACCTTCGAGATCAGTGTCAATTGAATCGGAAGTTATTTTGTTCGGTTGCAACTCACAAGAATTTGACTGTTTCTTGGAAAAGAATTTAAGCTGATCTTGATCAGTTTGGACGCCAATGTCATTTTCATATCCTACACTTAAAATGGTAAAATAAACCCTTTTTAAAAAAAAAGTTGAACCGACTTCAAAAAACACCGACAAAGAGCACTAAAAATTAAAAAATAATTACAAATCTAAGTAAAAAACTATAATAAGTACCCTCAATGTAACAGGTTACATTATAATACCAATAGTCCCTTCTAGTCTGTTTGAAGTCGGTGCCAAGCTCGATGTACAATAAGTAATACTGGTCT